TATCGCGCGCACTTCAATGACCGACGGCGATAACCCGCAACGCGAGCTTATCGCCGCACACGCGACGCGACGATCGGCCCCACTTTTTGCAGAACTTCTTCGGCAGCGTTCGACGCCAAGTGTTGTAATACCTTTTCCCGCCCGAGATTGTCTGCCTTTTCCTTGGCGCCAGCGCGCGCGTAAAAAAAGCACATGCACGCGTGCTCTCTCTCTCTCTCTCTCTCTCTCTCTCTCTCTCTGTCGTGTTATCGCACGCGCTCATTAATAATTTTGCGTTGGCTGGCTGCGAACAATGGCGCGCCGTGGATTTTTGAAATTGATGCTTTTTGAAAGGCAATCCGCGGAGAGACAGAGAGGGAGAGAGAGAGAGAGAGAGAGAGAGAGCGCGCGGGCCGCGCGTTGCCTCACGCGCGCACACGACAACTTTCTTTCGGAATTCGCCCGCACCGAGCAAAGTAAACAGATCGTTACGTAACGGCCGCGATCGGCGCCACTTTTTTTTCAGGGCTGTTGTTGCGTGCCTACAATTAGCGGGCGCTTTATCAGCAAACTCAGTCGCGCGTCGGAGGAGCTTGCTATTTTTAAGCACCGATAAGTCGCTTTCTTTATTTAAAACGCTGCGATTGTCCGGCCGCGCACTTCCCCATCAATTATTAGACGCGGCTGCTCGTAGATTTATTGCGCGCTGCTCTCCCGAGTCGATGCGTCGCAGGCGCTCGTTTCATCAGCTTTATCGGACTTGCGCGAGTGCTTTGTCGAATCGATTGTTTCGAAAAGTTTGCGCCCGCCGATATCGCCAAGCTTCATTTTCTTTTTTTTCTTCTTATTATATTGAGCTGCCATTATATATTATATGGGCGGATGTTACAACTCTTCCTAATCGATAAATGCGATCCTCGAATGATGCAATTAAACTCTGAAAAATCAAACATAGTTGGTGCAAATACACGCAGTTTATCGGAAAAAAGCGCGTATTGTTCGAAAATGGTCTTGTCTCTATGAACGAATAAACACGAATAGATGTTGCGCGCGAGTATTCAAAATGTATTTAAAAACTGAATATTAGGGTCCACAAGGCATTCGCACAAAGCTATTAGCATGCAGATGAGACGTAACGAATGTTTGGTTTGGTCGTGCGAGTGAACGGAAGAAGCAAAGTCCTGTTTCGCACCGTCGATAAAATCGAGCGGCGCGTGAGCGAGAGTTCGCTCCTTCGGCCGCGCGCCTGTCTCTTTTACAATCTTCATCCGAGAGGTAAATTTTCGACTTACCGTTTGTCGGGCGCGAAAGACTCTTGGTCAACGCTCACCTGCGTGGTAGCCTTCGACCGAGATCACGACGCAACTTAATTTCGTACCGCGATCGTTTGACACGCAACGGCGCTGTCTTGCCTTTATCTTACTGCCATTTATCCAACGTCCGTGGCTCAGCGTCAATGATTCGATGGAGTTCGAAAGCCCGATGAGCGGTGCGCCGTCAAACAATAGCGCAAACGCCAAACTAATTGCCTAGAGGATACGTCCGATTTGGGCTCTCGTCGATCTACGTCCGTACTGGACGATGACCAAGCTAAACGGAAACGCGCGCAAGCTCTACGCTTATTGTCATTCCACGCAGACGGCCGTTTAGAAAAAACGGCGGGTGTAATCAAAGATACCCGCCCCAACGCCATCAACAATTGACGCATGATTAAGCTTTCATGACGACCATTTTGCTGCTGCGAAGGAAGAAAGGACGCATTATCCTCTCAACGAGCAAATGCTTCGGCGTTTCAAATTTTTATTACCTCGCGAAAGTTATATGATAATGTGAAGCTCTTTCTCTCATCCTGTCGAAGGGTCATGCGCGTAAAAATACGCTCGTACGATCTGCATTGCTTTCATGCTCGACAAATCAGTAGACAATTTTTTATACGCTCTATATCGAGGAATATTGTTAATTATTTTTTTGTAAAAAGCTTTGAGAGTGTACAAGTGAGGAAAATAATTATTCATCAGCGTATGCTCCAATTAAAAATACAATCGTGTTTTATTTAACGAGGATAAGTCGAAAGTTTCAGAGAAACGATCAAAGAATGTATTTGAGTCAGCAGAACGCAGAACAATAAAAATCGATGAGTTTAAAAGTATCGACGTTCTATCCGCGAGTAAACCGGATCGGGATTCCACAAAAAAGTGTCTTGCTCGATTATGATTCCTCTCGCAGAGATACGTCGATCTTTCTCGCACTTGCCACTTGGCCTCGCGACGGAAGGGTCAAACTTCATCCCCAGTACTTTTCCCTCTCGGCGGTACATCTTTTATTCTCCATCGTGGGCGTGATATACACGAGGCAAGGAATCTCAATACCATACGCGGAGCTAAAAAACTTTACAGCGCAGCCTTTACAGCCCCAGCACAGCGTACGGTAAATTTTCCGTTTCGCGCGAGCATTTACGCTCATTCCTGCCCTGCGGAGGCGCCAGCAAAAAAGAAAGCGAACGTTTGAGAGAGCACTTCGACTGGCGCTCGACCATCAGCCTCGCCAATTCAACATCGACGCCGCCGTCATTTTACGTGCCCGCAGATGGAAGAATTCTTTTTGCACTTGGACGAGGCGACGCGTCGCAAGCTGAACAAGAGCCGCCCACGCGTGCGAAAATGATAAATAAAATTTTAGCGAAATGAAAGCAGACGACGGAATCCAATCATACGCTCGCTCTCGCGCGCGTCTGTTTACACGGGTCGGGAGATAACGAGACGAAACTATTGCCCGATGGAGTGGATTTCTCGTCGTCGGTTTTATATACATCAATGTGGGCGTCGCATGGCCAAACGCTTCTTTCGTCTTCGACGTGCAATTTCGTCACGCGCGATTGTTCTGTGCCTTTATGTGACGTACGACGTTCGCTTCCATGTGTACGCGCGTTTGAACTTTCGCAGCTACGAATTCTCCTTTATCTCGTGTTCTCGTGCCGCTGCGATTGGCTCGAATCACTTTACGCCGATGAGACAACTTGAGAAATCAAATAAAAGTTGAAGGATAGTCTTGTTTCACGCTTCGGCTCACAATTTTCAATTATTATCGTCTCGGAAGTGATTTTTCCATTGCGAATTACTCGCGCACTGCTCCAATCCTAATCTCCAAAGCTTTACGAAGCCTCTGAAACTAATGTCGCAACGTTCCGATTCGATATTCGATATACGCGACTCAGAATAAAAAACGCTGGAGCAATTATTTTTCACGCAACTAGAAAAACAACGGGAATCTGCGGATCTTTATTTCACTGGTTTCACCAACCACGCTATCGCGTGCTAGGATTTTTCCATTCCAGTTTGGTCAAATGAACGGGCCAGTCGATCGTTCCTACCACGCAGAGCTCTGCGCAGCAATTGATGAACCTATACGCGAATATTTCTACGCGCCGTAAGTCACGCGCAAACGCCGTTGAAACTATCTCGCCGTCGACAAACATACAAAAAAAATAAAAACTCGCTGACACGATTGTCGACAGATCCGCGTGGATTCCTCGACTGATGTAACACTTTCGTCACGTTGATCTAGCAATCGCCAATTTTGAGCACCGGAGAAAGGATTGGCTGAAAACTAAAAAAAAAGCCGGGCTCGTCAGCTGGAAGGAATCCGCACGTGAGACGAAGAGAAAATGGGAGTCATACAGAAATCCAAAAATAGCCCTCATCATCGACGACCCGATGCTCGATTAAGCATTCAAACATGATGCCGCCCGACTATAAATAGAGCCCGAGGCCTAATTGACAGCGTGTATTTGTGCGTGTGACCCTCGCTCCGCGCGATCTCGCATCATCCTCCCACGACTTTTCGCCAATCGCTCGTCTTCTCTTTGCTCGTCCCTCTCGTCGCCGCGCGCCAAAATTGTGATCGCATTTGTTGTGCTTTCTTCAACGTGCCCGTTAAAGTCCCGCATCAGCGCCGGCTCGACCTTTCCGTAACCGGACAGAAGATCAGCGACGAAAAAGGGTCAGCGATGACTCCCAGCACGCAACAGGTGTACAAGAGAGATCTGCACCTATTGCTCGCTGAAATATTCACCGTAGATCAAATCGCCTCCCCATTATTCTTCACTTTACCATGTATCGAGCCACTCTTGTTTTGAGAAAGGTCGATCGACTTTTTCTTCGTTCATACGTTTCCGTGAAAAACTATCACTGTAAGTAGTTTACGCTAGTTCAGTTTATTTGATTAATTTAACGACAGACTGACAACCTTTCGAATTTCAGATCGACCATGAACAATACGAATAACAAAATATGTTTTATTAATCAATTTTCATAACACGCAACGGAATTCCGACAATGAAGAAATAAAATTAGGCAACGGGTTATGGTACGAAATACAACGAAACATTAACTGTAACATTGAAGTTGTATGTCCTGCACGCGCACGAAGAACAGCGGCAAAAGATGCGTAAACATTTGATGCGCAGCGCTTGCTACGCTTGTATCGAAAAGCAAATGCAGTCGCGGAATTCACTCCCATGTTGTAATTTCGAGCGACACTCTCGGCAATTTCGCATTAGACAAGTTAGTACAGCCGCGCGAGAGTGGGCCTTGCGAAACGCTGTTGTTTTTCAAGATATAGGCGTAAACATTCGGGAGTAGTATTAACCGGCAGAAATCTATCTGAAAATTGCAATCGTCTGATGAAATGAATGACTACGCCGCAATCGACAAACTGTGCCTCCACGAATGAAAAAAGAACAAAAAAAAAAAGAAAAGCAAAAAAACTCGGACGACCTGCGGTAGCGCTTATCGCCAACTAAGAAGCGCTGAAAGCTACGCGTGGCCGGCCACAACGATCGCTCGACCTATTTAAAAGAAGCAAGAAAAGAAGAATATAGATGCCCGCGAAATAGGCGATCGCGAAGAGCTAGGAGTTCCCGCAAGGCAGCGCGATGAACACGTGCTGCGCGCAAGCTCGCTCGCAAGGTGTGCGTCCGCGTTGTATACGGTCTCCTTCGGATATGCTTGGATTCGACTCGCCGGGGCTATAAAAGCTCGCGCGCAACAGCCGCGCCACGTCACACATCAGCCGAACCGCGCGCCGCGAGGACGCGAGTGAACACGCGCACCGAGCCATTTGTTTTTTTCGCATGTCCATCGCTGCGCGGCGCATTTGCTCGCCCTTTCTTTCCCTTCGAGAGGATCCAACGCAAAGAAGCTGGAAGGACAACGAGAAGCGAGAGCTCGAGCTCTACATGATCCTAGTTGGAGAGTCGTGAATCTCAAGACAAACTCATCGCGATCGGTGAGTCATCACTTTTCTTCCTCCTTCTTCGTCTGCCTACGAAGATAATCCTGGAAAACGGGCGAGCGTGTGCGCGCTAAATTTTCAACGGAGTTCGGTCACGGGGGAAAGTTCAGATTGGCCGCTTGATTGCAAACTTTAACGCGAGCGCTCACGGCGGGAGGGAAAGTCCGCGTTAAACGATGCTGTCGACGGAGATTGGCTTCTCGTGCCTCTATCTCTTTTGTCAATCAAAACTGTCCCGTAGAAAAAAGTAACAATGGACCCCTTATTTTTCCGTCAGAGGCGCATTATACCACTTTTATATCCTTGACCTCGCCGGGTATTCGGTGCTTTATTTTCGCAAAAGCGAGACTCGTTATGAATTGAAGTGCACGCTTGAAACGTCAAACTCGCGCAGTTTGTGAGGATTGAACAAAGCGAGCGCAGTCGGGTTGGTTTAGTGTTTCGTGTTTACTCGACAAAAAAGAGCAAAGTGATTTCGATGGGGTGATGAATGCGGCGCTACTGGACCAGTATTGCCTTGCGTTCCGGTTTCACGATGCAGCTCTTTTAATGGTATTCGCATATTCGTTCCACAAATTCTTTACGAGGCTAGTTATCGAAAAATCATTCGTGAAGTAAACGTCATAAAATTTCGGAAATATTACGCTCTGCTGCGACAATACGCTTCTCGTTGCATGTGGGATAGAGTGCTTTTACAAATTTTATACGCAACGCTCGACATCTAAAATAACGAATTTACTTTATCCGCAAATATTTCGTCAAGATAGAATCTTGCAAATCAAAGCTCGATTAATTTTCCTCGGGCTTCTCAGCTTCCGATAAACTTTTTTTCTCGAACCGATGACCTGGCCAAATTCCATTCTAGCTGGTCCCTCATCTTTTTTACAAAACGTGTGGGCGTCAATGAATGTTCATTATGAAAAATTAGATACTGCATGTATATATGATAAGCAAAGTTTGCCTATCGAGTTATTAATTTGAACCAATTTTTAATAACATCTAATTCTCAAAGCCTATCGCATCTGGTAATTCCTCGAGTTTGATTAATGTCCCTCTTGAACTGCACACGCGAGCTGCAGGAGAACGGTTGGACGCTAGCAAAACCACGAGACTTTTATTGATAACACCAATGTGAATGAGGATGCGTATGTGAAAACGTGAAGTGAGATATGAATATCGAGATTCGACATTATTGAGCCGATAATTATATATTTTATATTTCGCATGGACTTGGCGAGCAATCGGTCAATACTCTTGTTGCCTAATGACTTTCATTTTTTTAATTGAAGCAGCGTTGCGCGAATGCTATTTTTAAGATTAAAAATTTCACAATTTCTTGTGCGTTTAACTAATGCTGCGAATTATCTATTTAATTTGCAATAATTATCGAATGCATGTATGCACGAGAGAATGTTTCATAAGACGCACTTTACGAAAAACAAATCGTTGAAAAATTTCCAGCGCAGTTACGTCTGACCGAGCCCGGTCGTTTCTACTGAGCGCTCGCGGGAAGTCGGAATTTCCCATTTGTATCAATGTAGCGCCTGAACTTTATTGTCGATGAGCTATCGTTATTGCTTCATCACATTTTGGAATTCATTCCAACTGTTTGCTCGAATAGTTTATAGAAATTTAAACAAATTAACAAAAAAATTCATTTTGAGGGAGCACCAGAAGTCCATGAGTAAATTACGAACTGAAGCTGGGTTCGGGTAAATTCATAAAGAAAAGTCGGCATTCAGTATTTTTAATCGTGAGATATAATCGAGCGTGCAGTTCGGAAGGCATATGCATGCGCAACTTGAAGCCAGTATAGAGTCCAATTGAACTTTAAGGGTTTGAACTTTACGTGTCGTATATAAACTCACTCGGAGCAATGAAACGCCGACGTCGTCGACGATACCGACGAATGTATGCAAAAGGATCGTCGATTTTACTTCGACAAGACTTTTTCGTCATCGTCCTTGGACGAGACTCAATATTTCCTAGGCACACGCGCTCGGTTTATTGTATTAGAGGGTGGAACAATTAATTCTCTTTTTATTGCTGGTGACGATTAAGCCAAGCTATGTCACTTTTTTTATTGCTTCATAAAGTCACAGCGGCAATTCGAATCGCGTATAATTTACATCGATGCGCGGAGGGATCGCAGGTAACAAGTGTGGATTATCTTTTTAATTTAGACAACACGCCAGTAACTATTCTTTCGATTTAACGGAAACATTTTATTCACGCACATTAGCAATATTTCACGACGGCTAAATATGTGTCTAGCGTTTCCAAAACATATTTCTACATTTCTGTTACTTGTTTTACTCAATTCACATTGCCATTCGTATACGTACATTTCTTCTCTTGATAATAATATAATACGAGCTTCCCTCTCTGGGGAAAACGTTTGTACGACTTATGTTCTCTGATGAATGAGAAACCGGTTTGTCGAGTGAATTTTCTCTCCGCACCCACTATAAGTACTTTATTCAATTGGGTTACAAGTATGCCATCCTACGACGCAGTATTTTAGTCTTTGTAATTTCAGTTATCAAAACGTGTCGTCTGCCGCGCGAAATCATACAAGAAAATGAGATTGCTTTTAGAAAAAGAAAATTGTTGAAAAGTGACGTCAAGGTGCGCGAGGGATGCTAAACTACTGTCCTATTAATATCGCGAGGCATTGAAATGGAATTGCAAGCGCTATATTACAGAATACGTATTGGGATATATTGTCTTCCACTGAAATCGACAGAAACTTTAGCGTTTATCTTGACATTTACGGAAATGCATTATGTTCCATCAGTCACATAAGCAAAATCCATTGGCGCTTTACATCAAACGAATCAATCTTTCTCGTGACTTTGACAAGTTTTGCATCGCTGATGAAAACTCGAGCGATGATACACAGGCACAATACAAGTGCGTGTCTCGCGCACTCGAGAAGAGAGATGCGTACTCTTTTGATTAGAAAAGAAAAGACGGTGACGAAAGGGGCGTCACTCGCATAACAGGAAAAAAAAAAGCAAAAAAGTCGAATGATACGTAAGGAGGTCTTTGAGCACTACGAGAATTATTTTTCGACGACAAATTGCGTCAGATATTCTACCGCGCGATGCAACTCGCTCGAGAGCTACGCGCATTTACGCCGCTGCATTTTTTTTTCGGCGGTAGATTAGATTCGCGGAAATTTTGCTGCTCGCTCGAGTGCTAATTGCGGTTTATGCAATCACCAACTTTTGATATTTTCGGATGGAAAGTTCATTATTCCCCCGCGATTTATCAAAGCTTCTTCATTTGCGAGCCAACGTCGTCTCGTTCTTTTCTGTCATCTCGATCGACAATGAATTTTCACGGTATCCAATCGACAGACCGCAAATAGCGTATATTCTAATTTTAATTACGCGCCTTCTTATATTATATCAAATACAATTACCATCAATCTGTTTTTTTTATTCGATTGGCGAAAATACAAATACAAATATTTTCCATGCAAATAGTTCAATCACCATCTCGTTAATCATTTCTTCTCTCAGCTAAAAAAAGTTCAATCTTGAAAAACCCCTTTCAACCAACGCAATCGCTAAGGGAAAGTCAAATAGACACGAATCTGAACGCTAAATCAAATTACTGCGCTGTCCTTGTCATTGAAAAGAGTGTGTGTGTGAGAGAGAGAGAGAGAGAGAGAGAAAGAGAGAGAACAAACAAAAAAAAAACGTGCGTAATTACTCTGAGCAGCTCGAGCACATTAAAAACGCATGTTCTGTGAGTCTACGAACGTCATTATAACCCAATCGTGTATCTATGTAGGTTAATGAAATTAGTGTTTAACAACCCAGCATTTACCGATATCCTGCTTTTACTCGATCTATCGTGCTATCGATTGGAGCATCAAACTCGATCCGACGAATTGTCGTATTGTTTGTTTCTGGTGAAGGAGTGGATGTGTGGGGACGTTCAAACGCACTGCCATCTTATTTTTTCTGTATTTTCATTGATCACAATTTTTATTGGAAAATCCCTCGACGTTTCCTGCCGCGACGCGTTTGTGCGCGGAATTACTTGCATATGTCGCTCGAGTTGCTTTTAATAACGCGTCAACGAAGGATTGTTGGTGAAATTTTCTTGTCTTTTTTCACGCGCCGTTGCACGTTTGTAAGGAGCAATTCAAAGAAAAAAAATTCATTTTCGATTATGTGTCAATTGACTAGTTCCGTCAATTTCGTTGCTTGAAGAATGAGGCTTTTCGTAACATTTCATATTCCAGAGGTAATAAGGCTTATTGACAGCTGACGTTCGCGCGAAATTTTTGTTTCGAAAGTAGAACGCGATTGCAGAATTTGATAAGGAAGTTCAAGTGAATTGACTAGTTTGAATGCTGCGCAAATCTATGGCTGCTGTGCGACAATAAATTCTATTCAATCTAGAAAAAGATTGCTTTAACACTCCCGACATTGTTCTAATCTCCGACAACATGTAAGAGAGTGGCTTGAAATTTTGCCAGGCTAAAGTCGCAGCATCGAAACGTAAATTTGTCCGAGATCGTGTGCACACATCAGAGACCTACGTCGGTCGAGCAGCTGAATATGGCTCGCGACTGACGCACAACATCACGTTCAAACAGATCAAATAAAGTCGAAAGAGCGGGATTACGTCCTGAATTAGCTGATTTGGCGAATGTATTAATCAGAGCATCCCCGAGAGATGTTTGTAGCGCAATTGTTTCGGTCCACGTAAGGAAACACCGCCGTGCGTGAGCCGTCGAGTTTGACGTTCTTACATACGTGACAAAATATTTACTCTGATGCTGTCTGTATGATTGGAGCTTTTTCCCGCTTTCCCCAAGTTTGAGCTATATAATTGTAGAGATTTTTTCACGAATGCCAGATTAAGAAAACAAATAACAGGCTTCGTCAATTTCGACCAAGATAAACAAACTATGACTTGTACGAAGTTTTTATCTGGTGCTTTGATTGCAAGTTTATTGATTCAATGTAAAATCGAATTGTTTCGTGTGCTGATTCGTGTAATTGTAAATTAGAAAGACACGGAAGCTGCTACATTGAATTTCAAATTTAATGGATTGTTAACAAACGAGTGCCGGTCAATGTAACTCACATTTACGGCGAGAATTGCGCTGCACTTGTTGCTCGGGACAAATGCTATACGCAAACAGGTGGCATTCAATATTTGAAAAGACAATGACGAAATCGCTTCAACTCTTCAAATTGCATTAACAATTAAAACAAAAGAGGAATGCTGAAATGACGTTACCCATGTAATGGTGATACCAAAAAGAAAGCTATTCGCACTTTGGCCGTAGCTTAACAGCAACTTCTTTCCATAAGTTATACAAATAACCAGCTGAATAATGTAGAGAAAAGTTGGCAAGAATTAAAAAATGTTCAATATCAGTGTGTGAAATCTGGCACTTTTTGAAATGTATATACGTTGCAGATTTGTTATTCAACGATTGGCAGTAAGGGGCATCGACTTCGATAAAATATTTCCGTTCTGACCAGGTCGGCAATGTTTTATCGAGTTAACTGAAAGTGCGGCCTCAAGCAACTATTCTTCTAATGCACGGTGTACCACTTGATTATCCGTCGGTCGAAGAATTATCTTTTTCGATCTTTCCTCGCTCCCGTAAATTATCGGCAAACACCGTGCGCGTGATGTTCGATTTAACGATAAGCCATATATCAGCCGATTTTCTTCTAAAACTTGTTGTCGTCGGCTTTAGATAGCGATCGACGTCACGTACAGCGAAGCTTCATTGATCCTCGGCAACGTAGAAGACGCGCCGCGAAAAGGTCCTGTATACAAGCGGTGATTGCAAGCTCGCAGTCGCAGAAATCAAAGGGCACGCTCGAATATTTATCGGAAATCTCACGGCAAAGGGAAAGAGAAAATACGACACATATGTTTTTTCATCCGTAGAGTTGACGACTATCAATTTTTAATTACGGCCCCCTCAACTTTTTTTATTTTTTTCGTCTTACCTCGCATGCCAGCCGGTGCATGAAGAATGAAACCAAGAGTTATTTTTACACGACCAACCGTCAATTTTGCAGTGATAATCTTAGACGGTGCTTTTCTTTTTTTATAAAAAGTCAATAAACTTGCTGCGTTTAATGACATGGCGACATCATGCGTATATAGCTTTTTTTAAAATCAACTGCGCTTCGCTTAATCCACACGAGTGACGTTTTCTCACGTCTCCCAAAAGCAACTATACATATTTTCCGACGAAAATTCCGATGATTTTCTCATTGCTATGTGACTTTTACTAAATCGTCCGTAGCCTTCGTTATACGTACAAGACAGACGCGAGAGAAGAGTGGTGACGACATAAAAAGAACGCATGTGTTGGCCTCCTTCCGCTCGGTTATCCACCTAAGAGACTCATAATTATCACTGTCCGCTCTCAATTCCGCCCCGAGAAATTAATTTTCCAAGAGACGTTTTTTGTCGCGCGATGTATGTGAGCTGCGCTACTTATTTTTTACGCGCGGCCGGCAAGTAGTACGACTACGCGAATAACGCGACGCATTGAACTTTATTACTCTCCGGCATTAGTCTCTCGTATATAAAATACTCACTTTGGCGGATAGCTTTCTATTTTCTTTTTCTCTTCTTCGATAGAGTTTACATGCAAAAGTTACTGGGATCAGTCGACCGAGTAATAAAATTCCTTTTCAGGCAGCAATTAATTTCCACGGCACTCCAAATATTTTGCACTAGAGCTATAAAAAAAATAAACGGGACGATGAGTAATGTATAATAACGAGTTTTTTTTAAATGGATTAATGCTTGCTTTTAGATTCTATGCAGCAATATACTTCATTTTTCATGGCTTTCAAGTATTTGAGATTCATGGAGTTTATCCAGCTGGAAAATTTATTCGATGAGCTTTCGGAATTAGAAAGTCCTACGCATATGCTTGTCATCTCGCAGTCATACATTTCTCGAGTTAAAAAAATTCGTAATCGCAGATACAAGTGTGCGATAACTGACGCTTAAAATAGTCGAGTAGTCAGATGTGTCAATGCATGAATTTAGTATGACACGAGAGTCGATAAATGGATTGTGCTTGACGATAATATATACAGCAGCACGTCAGTTGAATTTGTTTGTTCGATGTCAATTTATAAAGTTTTATTCCGCCGAAAGCTCGTTGCAAACACTTCGGTGAGAATTATGTATGCTAACGGTGTAGAAGATTCAGAAACTACCAAATATTTAACTAGTCAAACTTAGTACTCACGTTTTACGGAATGATTTTTTAAGAAATATATTTGTCGAAAAAAGAAGGAATCAGATTTGATGTCGCTACGGATATACGTGAGAAATGACATTTACACGCTGATGAGCTGTATATTCTTCAAGCTCTGAAATGGTTGTCCCATTTTTAGAATAACACCTTCGCGTGAATCCTACAAATCACGATTTTTTTTTCTTGAAAAAAAAAAAAAGCAAATAAACAAACAACCAAACGTACATTTGAAACGATGTATTCTATTTCGAAAAATTGAATTTTATCTTCCCTCGCGGATGGTGTTGAAAATATACATGGGAATTTAGGTCAATTTAATCTTGCGTGATTTGATTTCTCGTTTGACTTTATTTTTAAAATGAATTACTGTAAAACACGCTGCTTGATTTGATATGCTCATTTCTGCAGATAAAGCAAATTTTTATATTACACGATAACAAAATACATTTTTATGAATACACGAATAACGAGAAACATTAAAAGGTGAAATGAAAAATATAGCGCACACATCAATGCAATACTTAGCAGTTAAATGTGCACTGGAATGTAAAAATATTGTGTTTCGATAAAAAAATGGAGGCAGCTTGCAATTTGAAGCATTTACACTTAGAGGCTTAATTAAATTTTATACTCCAATAAATCAATAACATTATCTAGCGGAAAAATTTCAAGCAAAGTCAGAAAAATGCCAGAAGGTATTATAAACAAAAAGTCATGTAATGAATTTCATTTAATGAATGTTGCAGGTCAATCGAGGCGAGCGTCACGTGATGTGCTTAACGAGCCTACTCGCGACGCTGACACTAATCAGCTTGGCTAATGCGGCGCCGATGATACAACCGACTGATCACAGGGCGAAGATACCATTGGATAATGATCACTTTTTACTCATACTGCTTCTCAATCGTAAAGATTTGGGCATGAAGGTACGAATTCATTGGCTTTTAGTTTTTTGTTTTGTTTTGTTAGGGGATTTTTATTTTTTACTCTGCGTCGAGTTATTTCAATTATTAATTGGCATCATTAAGAAAACTGTCAGCCTCGACCTTCTTCTGATCAGTATTTATATGTTTTTTTTAATGATTTTCGTGTTCGCCAAATACATTAATATCGGTTGAATTACTTTGACAACGAGTGCCATCGACGCGGAAATGAAAACAAATGAGAACTTTTATAAAGAAAAGCAATACTTTGCCATCAGTAAATATATTTGCCTTTGATTCATAAAAAGAATAAGTACTACGCTGGCTAACATGGAAGTATGCCATCGGAACAAAAATATTTCTCGATTACGAGGGTACGTGCGTCGTACGCGAGAAGCTTTACCTAGGCAACAAAAGAGATGCCTCATAATTTCACGTTTATATGGCGGTTGTCCGAAATAGCTGTTACGAAGTTTATGAAACGACACTGTATAGTGCTTTATCCGCCTTTCATAATAAAAGAGAGAAACAGATTGAATTCACTCGGACATTTCATGCATACGAATGCGCCGAAATTTTCGCAAATTTAACCAACTTTGCATGCTTCACATTTGGTTCCGCGTTATCGCGATGCACAGCCGTGCCAAGTGAACTTTGACTAGTAAATGAGAAATTTTTCGGCAGCAGCGAAACAGCAATTCGGAAAACTGACAGATCTCGCGCGAGGAATTTCGTTTTTCTTTTATCGAAAAACCGAAAAACTTGTTGAATCAATCGAGTTTGCAGCGCACTGCAGCCGAAATTGATCAAATGGGATTCGACTTGCAGCGCAAAAGTCGGTAATTAATACGATATTGTTTTGCCATTAATTTCGCTGCATAATAATTCTGCGACTGTCAGCGTTGCGCGCGAGACTGCAATCGGATGTCGACACTACTTTCGATAACTTCACGCCGTAAAATTTTCAATGCAAGCTGATTTGCATCTATCAGAAAATGATGAGATTAAAGGCTAACTGCTTTCTGATGAAACGACTACTGGAAATTTCCTCTTTAAAGCAGAACGTACTCTGTGAACGTGAAATAAAATTAGTAATTAGAAAATGTCGGTACAGCACTACTAAGGCAATAATTGATTTGCCAACTTCATTGATGTCTTGCAATATTCGAGCTCTGTGTTACGAAAACCAAATCCGAAAATAACAGCGTATCGTCGAAAAATAAGAAAAATAATAGTAGTTCTCGTTGAGAGCAGCTATTGTGACTCGTTGTCAAAGCAACAGCTCTGATGTCGGCTTATCAAAAGAAAAAGAAAATCGCAATAAATACTGCTGCATAGAGCTGCTGAACTTATTGCCAACCTTGACTTTGCAGACAAAGCCAATGGACGAGACGGGCGGCGACTACATCGTGGTGTCACCGGACAGTCCAGAACTGCTGGAGCCCAGTCGCGACAACAGCCGTGACAAACGCATCGGCTCGTTATCGGTAGTCAACTCGGTGGACGTGCTTCGCGAGCGAGTACTACTGGAATTGGCGAGACGCAAAGCCATGGAAGACCAAGGTCTCTTTGGTCGCAATCGCGAGCTAGTGAGCTCGGTTGGCAAGCGTACCTTCCCTTATCAAGATCACCGGATAGGTAGGAAGAAGAGACTGCAGTATGTGATCGAGCCGCAGTGAGATACAGTTGCAGAAGCTCATTGATTCTTCTATTCTTTGTTCTTGCCAGTATTATTTTCTTTTAAGTTCGAGCATTTATGGGATCTGAGTCAGTTCATAGTCATCATCTTCCATACTCACCACTTGACAGCTGTATCCTCACAGCTGTAGAGTAAGTAAATGCTTTCGATGCATTGCAATGCCATTTTTTCCCTTCGACATTCCAGAATCATTTGTGTGAGAGCGTTTCTTTTACCGACTATGTACGTTTGCGTATAGGGCATGCAAGTATTTTTGTAATGTATTAATTTAGCGTTACTTATCGTGCTGAGTTTATACTCCTATTTTCTTTCTAAAGAGACGAAGATTGTGGTCGTGGAAGAGAGGATCAATGTGGTCGTGTTTGTTTCATTTTAAGAGTGACGAGTGAAAATGTTCGTAACGCTTAGTTTTCAAACATTATTGAAAATTGATGTACGTTTTGTTGAAACAAATTTGTATAAACTATGTGAACATCTAAAAGCACTTCGTTATGGTCATTTTTTTTAAATCATCTTGTGGAGTTCAAGACTTGTATAATCAAAATAGAATCATATACTATATTTTTTGACTATGTCGATGAATGCTGATGTATTACCATGGATATGGCTATATATGCGACTGATGAAAAAAATGACAAAAATCATTGAAAATAAATATTCCTATAATTTCAATACCCTATATTTTTCCTTTAATACAAATGACTAAACATTTTTAAAACTTGCTAGTATTCGTTTAACGAACATAGTATGTACTACTTACTGCTTAATACGTTAAGATACGAAGTCTTTGACTTTGTACAGTTCATTATTGCTAGGTATTGGCGATACATCAACTTTATTGTGTTTGGGATGATTTCACGAATGCTGTCTTATACATCTGTTCGACTATTCACAAACTGAAATTCATTTGTTGTATAATCAACTCTTGACTGTAGTGACATTTATACTTTGAAGTTATCGATAATACATACTATAATATGCAATAATTTGATTCATCATTTGCTGCGTAATTGATCAAACAGTATACAAAAAAAAAATATTATTACGACAGTTCATTTGAGCATTGTGATTAAAATAAGTTCCTTAATATCAATCAATTTTTAAAAGCAAACATTATTTTTTTAATTGAAGAAACTAGCTATTTTATTAAAAATTGATTTATTAGCTCATACCAGAAATGTTTATATTTTCAGTCTTGTAGAAATTGTAATATCTTTTATCTTTCGTCACCAATCGTGGTAAATACTAAATAGTTTCCACGTCAATTATGTCAATTTAAGGATAAATCAGGTGAGAAACATATTCGATGAAGAAATGTTTAAAAAACTATGAGCAGCAGTTGTTACTTAATGCATATTTCGTAACATACATGGAAGTTACTTGACTTTTAGTTAATTTTAAATTTGTTTAAAATCGTGAATTATGGAAGAATGAGTCATTCATTGGTGGAATTCAACTAAGGAAATTCATTGTGATTGCCAAAAGCTTCTTAAATGATAATAATTTAAAATAAGGAATGAACAAAACAGCAGACGTTCAATTATTTCATCTGTTAATCGCAAAAGTAATTCTTAAAGAATTTTATTGGTAATAAAGTAAGGATAATACACAAAATATACATACTATTTATAAATATTACAACTATATTTTGAATAAAATAATACTTACATGAAGAATAATCCAATAAGGAAATTTTGTATTTAATTTTGATCTCGAAAACTTTTCTCTGTGTAAACATGAAATTGTTATTTTATACAAACTGTGAGAAATTAGGTATTTCTATCGATATAATTTTCACAAACTCAATTATAAGTTACACCGTCGATTGCGAAATCAAATGATTACAGAACTTATTTTAATAGATTCACCAATAAACACAAAGCGAATGAAAAATAGAATTAATAATATATTTATAGATACGTGAAAACCTATCTGATTACATAAAAATGGGAAAATGAAAAAAGAAAATATTATAAATGTAGCTAGCATTTAACAGTTCTGTTATTTGTGAAGATATTTAATACGATATACGGCAACGGATATGTAAGTAAAATATTTGTGAATAATATTAAACTGATAAAGCTTATTTTTTTCAATGGTTATTTTACCCATATCATACTGCTCATAGAAATTTTAAATAATTTAATTTAAAAGTGTTAGAAAGAAATTGATAATCGCTAATACTTACATAACGCAAAATTCGCAATAGGAATGTATAATTAAATCGTCTATTGCAATCTACGATTTGCTCATCAGTGGTTTTGAAACTACGGCAATCATAAAACTAAAAAAATATCGAGAGAAAAAAGTTTGTGCAAAAAAATCTACTCTATCATTTGATACGCGGCACGTACGACAGTACACGGTCTCCCCTTTATCAACGGAGAAATAGTAGAAAGCTCGAGGCTCGAAGTAACGACTACGTTCAGCAGATGGTGGTAGCGTGTCGTTGAAGTAACTCGCTCGATTGTTACGTATATATATCGCAATGCATAAACGCGGAACGACGAATTTCTCGTAAGTCCAATGACACTTTTACAGGCGCGCGTCAGGGGTCATATCGGTGAATTTCTACTTCGGTATGCTAAAGTTTCGTGTCATGCACGTTCATGAGTTATCGTATACGCGTAGCGCCGCGTTTTTGACTTTCGCGCGAATATAATTTCTTGCCTCGCTGTATATATTCAGCGTCGCTTTCCGAATCGAGGCCTAATAATTTCATTCTATTACGTTTTCCATTCCCTCTTCATCCTCGACTCGATCGATTAAATAAGTAGGATGTATTTATACCCGTCGAAACGAGAAAACTTTAGCCAAATCAATTTTATGCAATTATCTTGAGCAACGTAACGTTTGTCCTTTAGCGTCGAAAACCCGTTTTTTGCCGCTGCAACTTATATCTTGAGAATTACATTTGTAAGGGTTTATCACTTTGAAAGGCTTCTCAAGACGTTTAGGTAACATGGACAAGTAACACGTTCATTAATAGCCGAGTGTAAACGAGCCGCGCAGTTAAGTATGACGCGTCTCGTCTTTTTTGAATCAACTCTAAACAAATTGTGACGTAAGAAAGAAAAAAAGCCACACCGTTGATTCGTTTTGTTTCTCTAAGTCACACGTAACTTGCGAGCAAGTTCAAACGGATCCAAAGCATTCATCGACGACGTGCAAGCCAATCGTCGGGCGCCGTAAAAAGGATGCATTGCACGCGCAAACAAACCGGCGCTGTTAAAGCTTTTTCATTACACGCGATGGGAGAGCTTGCGCGTACGACCGTGAAAATTTTTTAATTCACTCCTGTCTCCCTCCCTCCCCACCTCGTCCCCCTTGCGAGGCGCACTAACAAAGTTTGCGCGCCGAGACACGCCTAATTAATTAAATGCCCACTTTTAGCGCCAGCAAGGTAAGTAGATTGAAGGACGCGCATTAGGAAAATCAGGCTTCTTTTTTCTGATTAACGCCCGGCGCGTGCGCGCGCGCGCTAGCTCCACTTTCGCACGCTCGACTTGGTTTTTTCGAGGGAAGAGTCGAGAAAATTTTCTCGCGTGCGTGCATGAATGACGAGCTACCGCTGCGTTATGGCTGTTTGCAACGCGAGAGCGGTGTGCACGGAAGCACGAAGTAAAAAAAAAAGAAAAAAAAAAAAAAGAGCGAAAAAATGACTCTCAAGGAGAACGAAAATTATACTCGAGCCCCTGAGCACACTTTTTATCCGTTTGGAGAAACTTTACGCGTTGATATTCGTTTTATCGACGGGCTTACGTCGGCTCAAGTATGATTGCCTAGAAAATCGTCGCGAATAAATGTCAAGGCTCTACCAGCGCCGTCGCTTACACACTTTTTGTCTGTGCGTCGTGCGCCTGCCGCGGACATTAATTTCCAAAGAGTCTCGTTGAGAATTCACCGTTGGTACGGACATTAATTATTACGATTGTTTTTCTTTTTACACTTGCGCGCATAACAGCAAGTGGTAACTCTCTTGGGAAGCATAATTTTACCTGACCTTCGGTTTTGCGGTAGGCAAAATAACTATTGGAACGTTTTGTTGAACGATTCTTTTCGCCAAATGCGTCAGTCCAAACGATGTTGCCGCAACAACAACAGCTTCAAAGAATAACAGCCGAGCAAAGCAAAATCATTGATTCAAAAGAATCTCCAAACTTTGGAAAGAGCAGAGAAAGCCATCAAGTGGTAACGATTTGCTGGGAAGCGAGGAGAAGGGTAAAAGTTATCGAGAGAGTTTTGAATACTCGTTGGCCTTGGATTGAAAATTTTGTCCCTTGCCCCGCGTGTGCGTCAAAGCGTTTTTCCAGCAATTAAACTTTCGCAATCCAAATCAAAAGGCCTCTTAACGTCTAAAAAAAAATATTTTTTTTTTTCAGAGCGCACGATCGTCATATAACGATGAAAATCAGTTTGCGCGATAAGGGTCAAGGATAATTGAGATTATTATTTTATCGTTGGCAGGGGGCAGGGCAGTTGCTTAAGCAGAACGTATACGATCCTTGAAAGTTGGCGAATAAAGCGCGAAGTGAAAAAAAGCGAGGGAAAAAGAGAAAGAGAGAGATAGCGCAGATGCATGTGTACGCGAGGAAAATTAAATCCTCATCAAGCGGCGGCTAAATAGTTGACGAATCCCCGAGCAAAGCGCCTTGAGCTTGCGCGCGCAAGCAGTCAATGCCAGGCGCCACGTGTGCAGCAGTTCCCCATGAGACGAAGGAAAAGCCCAGACCCCCCCCCCCTTCCGCCCCCCTGGGGCGTGCTTGATAAGTTACAGCCTTTGCCGGGCATGAAGCCGCAGCGCGCCGCAGATAACGAGAGGCGCAGTCGGATAGACTTTTTTGGCTGTGCTGGTTGCCTCCAGCCCTATACGTGGGAAGGGGTCGTTGTTGGCGATAACGAAGATCGGGCTACTGCGCGCCGCGTTCTACGGCGAGGATACCAGGGGAGGGTCGCGCCGCCACGCCGCGGCTAACGGCCGATCGATACGTTTACAGGTTGCTGTGCGTCTTGTAAGGCTATAGCACTGACTAGATGCGCAATTTACTTTTAATCGATTGCCTTCTTTTCTCGCCAACCCTGCGCGACAACTACCATTTGCACTTCCTCGAGTTGTATGTGTATGCGTAATTTTCCTTTTTTTCAGCAGAGACCAAACTGGAGTTAACAGACGAGCTCAATATTTTTATTTTCTCTCTCTTTTACTTTCGAATAGCAATAGTAGTAGCAAGTTGGTACGAACGAAAATATTTACTTTAGCAGATCTAGATATCAAACGTGATCAGCTTCGACTACCAGATCATTTGTTGGGACTCGTTTGATTGCAGTACAGCGGGGTTTATTTGGATTTTGATTGATCGACTAATTGTTCGCCGTGAAAAATTTTTTTTTTTCGACACTCCGTGCGTGGAGACTCGACTTTAGGCACGCTCGAGAAAACGAGCATGTTTAAAATCTCGTCCCACGCACGTCGTATTGAAAAATAAAGTTAGATACGTGTGCGAGAAAGTGATTTCACCCTCGTGTGGCCTCTTCACGTGGTAAACGTCCACACGAGCCTGATATTACTTTCTCGCACTCTAGTACCGGAATGTGCTAAATTTCCGGCATTCACGCGTGTTGGAAAGTAAGGAAATGCAGCAGCTACGCAACCTCTTTAATTCCACCGCGGGAATAAAAGACAACCGTGCATGACTTTAATTTAACGTCGCGACTATATGCGAACGAATTTTACCCTCCGCAAAACATTTGCCAATAGAGAGCAAACGTGGACAGAGCGTAATACGATCAAAACAATCGTCGAAACTCGACCGAAAGCAACGAGAATATTGCGACGTCGATCCATCAATCAAGTTGGCAATCAAACATTCACGAATTCACAAGAGTTACGCGTTTCGAACGCTCGATGCATCCATGTAACAGCTTACGAGCTTGTTTAATGGCAACAGGCATGTATTGTTCTTTTTTATCGAGTATCCTTTATTAAGCAAGCTTGGGATTCGGAGATGAATCCCTACCCTCGCAACCATCGTAACGATTCGTGTTCGTTTTCTTCTGACGCTCTTTCTCTCTCGCACATGCACGCAGGCCGCAGTTTAATTAATAAGCGCTTGCGCGCACGGGATTAAAGAATTACTTTCATGCGTCAGAGCGAGGAAATTCGAGTGTGTTTGCTTAGACCTCGTAAGCGTACGCCTGATTAGATTGTCTCTCTCTCTCTCTCTCCCTCACTCTTTTACTGTTCTTCAATTCGTTGTGCTCGTTATGTTCTCGGCGAAAAAACGAATAGTCAACTACAATATATTTATTTGATGCTTTCATTTTCAACGAAAGCGAATGGGCAACTGATGAAGGTTTTTTGTGAAAATATCTTGCTTTTCAAATATAGCATTGAAATTGAAGTTTGACTGGTATGATGAAAAATCACTCTCGTAGAGAGAGCTGCTTCGGTATAATGTGGATTATTGAGTAACACAAGTTTCGCAACTGTTCGTGTATACATATATCGTAATAAACATGTTCCTAGAAACATGTTGTTTGGAGATTTTCCTCGTTTGGAATGGTAATTGAAGTAATTAAAATCGATCTAGGCGTAATATTATTTTCTCTTTTTCCTTTTGGAAAATCTATCATCAATGCAATAGCGTAAGCCTTTGTTAACTCGAGTTTCAGCTTATTGGTAGTGAAATCCATGGGCAAACATATTAGTAAAAGCGTAGCAAGGTACGGTAAACAATAGTATAGATTTCGAGTATGATGTGCTAAATTTATACGTGATCTGAGCTTGCTAGCACAGAGCTTAAAGAGTGACGCACGAAAACAAAACTTTTATTAA